TTATATGAAATAAATAACCATTTCACATTATAACCTAATATAAAAAATGTTTAAATCTAAACTATGGATGAATTTGATTACTGACAAAATAGGAAATAAGGGATCGTAGTGGAGGACCGAAGAAACCCGAGCGCGCTTCCGAGCTAAACCGAAAGGTTAGAACAGGCTTCCATACGTAACAGGTGATTAATATAGTAAGGGCTTCAATAATACTATTTGTATATACATATGCATTTTTCACAACTGCTATCTATCGTTGGTATTGTTTAACATATAATTGTATAGATTATAGCACTTTAAAAATTAAAATAGTATATATACCAATGATTATTCGATTAAAACTACATATAATGAAATATAAATAAACAAGAAACAATATTGACCTTCTTTATCAGTGACACAATTGTCGAACCAAAAATATTTTGTGGTACTTAATTATTAATTATAATTAAATAAATAATTTAAATATGCTGTCTTAATAGGAACTTTGTCCCTTAAAAGGTTAGTGATAAAAAAAAAACAAAAAATATAATACATTAGACAACCGTGAAGAAGTATGATAATCAATTGTTTTAAATAATATTTTGTACCATATATAATTTATACTTTTACTTCACATTGTCTGAAAATATCTATTTCTGCTAAAAGAAGAGTGATAAGTAAAGGTTGAATGATGCGCGCACAGCACCAGATTTTTGTTATTGCACACATAATAGACCTTATAGGATTTACGAGTCTCAAAAAAAATATTGTGAACATGCACTGAAATGTGAAGGAACTAAAAAACCTGACAAGTGTAAATTGACAAAGAGGAAGTCCAACAGTCATATTGCAGTTGATCAGCAGATTCAGTTTAGGATACTCATTTGTGAAGTCTCATAGCCATCTAAATTATTTAAGTGGTATAATCCACCGAACTTACTACAGCTGTAAAATATCATTAGAGTTGGTCAGAGCCCCAGAGGAGGAAGTGTGGTCAAATAAATACTAAATTTTTTAAAAATAGTATTTTTAATTGCTACGCCTATATTTTTTTTAAATTATTATTTATTTGACCGCACCATCTCCCTCTCCCCCCCTCCAACCAACTCCTTCTCATATTATATCACGGTCAACCATCTCTACATCAATATTAGATATTAATTAGATCTCGAAAACTTTAAAAGAATCATTTATATCCTATAGATAGTGCATTTGATTAAATGATTTACGATAAACGCATCATAAAATATTATTTAGCGTAAAGTAAAATATATTTTTTTAAAAGCAGATGATGCTGTGATCATGTTGACAATATAAAATAATTCATACACTGTAAAAAAAAATCTCATGTTATGCAATTTCTATACGCCAAATGAACCACTTTACTTTGTTATCGCCTATGAGTAATTGCTACGAGAACTACAATACGATCGTAGATATCGTGCTCTTCAACAACGAACATAGCGTGATATTTACATGATATTGCAATCTATATAAATAAATATAGCATAGTAAATGAAAATTATTTTTGAATAAACACATGTAAATTGAATTTGAAACCATTTTATGTATTTTCACCTCTAAAGAACACGGTCTTAAAAATTGTTTTATAAATTCTTCTCCTGGCCAGGCAGACCTACAAGACTAAAGAATGTTCTTCCATTTATTTTGTGAAGTTGAGTTACAAAAGAATCTCTGTTCAGTGTGGGACATGAAAGCAGCTTTTGTAGGTATGATAGTGAAAAATGATGATCGTATCTTGATGCTATCATGTAAAATTTCTTGTTATGTACATTTTGTGCTATAACTTACATTCTAAAGAACAAATTGCCTCTCCCAAATACAATTGTGGCGATTCCTGCCACTTTCTACGAGAGACAACTAGTTCACCTGCCCACTACCTGGCAGTGCCACACAAGCTTGCTCGTTCAATGTACCAAAGTTGATTAGTATAAGATACATATATATGCTTTTTGGTCTTCAACAAACTGCTTTTCATTTCACTATATCCAGTAACCTTCTGTCCTCTGCTCTTACTCCATACGATTCAGGACGCTCATCCGTCCGCTTGTAGTCCTATATACTAAGTCAGGAGGTCGATCCCTCCGTTATTATTTCATCCTTCGACAAAATTTGGAGATTGATCCCTCCGTTTCTGGTTACCATCCTTGCTGAGTGTTAAGGTTGATCTCTTACACCGCAGAGTGATGGGTGCTGATCTGCCTGACACTTCAGGTCATCTTTCTTACCTCTATATTGAACAATCTTTATCGAGGCCTTCTGGTAACTTTCATACTCTACAAAATAATCTCGACACAATATTATATACTGAACTTAACATTGAAATTCTTATATTCCCTCTTCATCACTCACTCCACCTTTCACCATACTTAAGAAATCTTTAAAACTCCTTCCTTTGCATGATTTAACTGTAAACTTCGTCCCTACAAGCACATTGGAAGTTAGAAGGTAACATACAAGAGAACACTAATAAACCTCTTAGTTCAATAAATATCTTTATAAATCGCCACAAAAATATATGAAAAAAAAAATAATTTTACACCTGAGAACAGGTTTTGAAGTTATATTTGCGATTTCATCGGGTTTCACCAGGATAGTTCAAGAAAGTCTTTTACAACTTCCTACTATGTCAATACTTTACTACCAGATATAGAAAAGAAAAACAGATATAACTGTTTCCTTCAAACAATTGAAATCAATCCTTTACAGAATATGACGAAATGCAAAGTTATTATTAAAACAATCTAGAATTGCTAAATGCGTTTTATGACCTTGTATAACTTATTTTCTAAGGTCATGATACTTTCAGAAAACTTAAAAATAAGCAGTAGTGTTACATATTAAATAATCACTTCTATTATATTCGCATGAGCAATCTGCGAGAACCGGAAATTAACTTACCCATCAACGACAATTTAACTTACTTGCATAGTAATAACCATCGCATGCATATTCTCTCTCATATTTGAGGAAATGAAAGAAAATAATAAAATGACTCCCTTGGATTGCAAACTATTTTATTGACCAATATGATATTCTCCTATGGTGAGAAAAGGCATTCATTCACAACATATTCAGAGAAAAAAAATAAGACAAAAACAAGATATTACCAAACAAAATGCGACGTTCATAGAATGTCTGGAGTTTATTGTTAAAAAACTGATCCAAGTGGTTTTTGATCTCCTCTCTCCTTTTGGAATTTCTTTCCATTCATGGAGTACTGCAGAGACCGGAATAAGTGATTATCACTTGGAGCTAGGTCTGGTTAATAGGGAGAGTGGGGCAAAAGGTCCCATCCAAGGCTCCATAATTTATTGCGAGTGACCTATGAGGAGTGGCGTCTTGCGTTGGCTTTGTGGAACACAACGCCCTTCCGATCATTCATAACTCTTCAGAATGTTCTCCAAATTCGATGTCACTATATCCGTTGGAAACCTGAACTATTGCTCTTCGAAGTCGTAACAATATTTGTTTTTATTTAATGCCTACATGAAGAATAAATAAACAAAAACTCCTTATAGGTTTCTATTTTTTATCTCCATTTGTAGTTTGTTTAGGAAGATCCTGTTGATGTCATTTTATGCAGTTTGTGTGGCCATAAATGTCTGCAAAATTTCTTGTAGATACCTAAAGTCTTATTGAAGTTATAATATATTTTGAGATTTTCGAATGAAAATCATGAGAGAGACCTAAACATTAAGCCTGGAAACATAGCCGAGCTTGTGCAAATGGTTATCTACGCTTGTGTGCGATGCATTTAGGGCATAGCAATCTCTCACACTGGTTGGGTGGGATTTTGATAAACAATGGCCTTAGCATTGCTCGTTTCAATTTCATGGGAGCGACCAGACCGTTGACCATCATTGATGTCAACATTTCTTGAATGAAATTTGGCAAACCGATTTTGACAGGTGCGTTCGGTTAAGGCATCATCCACATAAAAACTACAAATTTTTCTATGAGCACCTACAGCACACTTACCTTTTTTAAAATAATAATTGAAAGTAATAATAATAAAAAAATACTTATGTTATTTAAATAAATATATTTATATTTATAAATATATATGCCCTAAATTGTGACACATTGTAATATTTTTCAATAAATAAGTTTTAAATATATATATATATATATATATATATATATATATATCGTATTGATAGTTATAATGTGAATAATAAAAGCCATACATTATTATATAAACTATGGTTATCCAGGGTCTGTCTGTTTTGTGAAGAGGAAGTAGAATAGAAAGGTTTTAGAAATGGGTAAGAGAGAGACATGTTGAATTTGATGATGAAGGGAATTTGGTGTAGTGGGCAACTAGGAAGATATATAATCCGCCCAGAAGAATGCTGAGGCGCTGACCAAGAGACTTATTGCATTGAGCTACTTGCTGTATTATCTTTTTTTTCTGTTTTGTTTAGTTTTATTATTTTTTTATGCTATCATTCATTCTCCTTGATATCATATTCTCTGAATACCGAAAAAGATGGCAAATTTATTATGAGCCAGGAATGTGTGTAACTAATAACTAAAAGAAAATGTTACTTGAAATTTTTATGTAATGAAGTTCGGTTAAGATCTTGTACAATTTATTCTAACTCAATTTTTAAACATTTAAATTTTTTTTTTCTTGAAGATTTTCTCTGCCCAAAATAAAGAAATACTTAGAATATAATGAAAACTCAATATAAATAATGAACCTATTGTTTGTCATGGTTATAGTTAGTGTTCCAGTGTATTAATTTGCGATGAAAGATAAGCAGCTTTGTTGACGGATACAATGGAGCACTCGTTGGCAAAATATTTCAGTACCAGCCTCTCTCGGGTCGACCTTGAGCTCCTCAACCTATCCCCCGATAATGGCCCGATCATCGACGATATCCTAAAAAAGTATCCCGTAAGGTGGAAAGAAAGTTGCCGAAGATATCAGCAAGACTATCAACCACCTGAGAGGAGTGGTGGGGATGCCTTTATAAGGTTGGCTAATTAACATGGTCCAGGTAGAAGCCGACATGACGGGCTCGAGGCAGGATGAGAAGCAGGCAGGCGTCCTTCCGGGGCAAGTCTCCGCGCTACGTGAGTAACCAACCATCTCGTATCTAGTCTTAGGCAGAAGTTGGTGGTGTCAGTACGAGGGACTTATCTCAGGACGGAAATCGAATAATCTTCGAGTTCATAACTTCTTTTGTGCTTATCTTTCACAACTTGTTCCTCTCGACATGTCCAAAAAGTGTAGCTTTTATCAAATTTCTTGAAAAATGTTGCCATAGTAGATGGTAGCCGCGGATCCAGGATTTAATTTTGGGTACTTCAAACTGAAAGCATTTTTTTTTTTTTAATATATACAGCAATAGTTGGGAAGAAAAAGAAAGAAACTAACTGTCTATAAGAAATTGTGTTTAAGTGATTCTTGAAGTCCTATTAAAAATTAAAATATACGAACAATAACATTTTTGAGATAATTTTGTAATTTTTTTTGTTGAGGCATGTCATAATTTGTAGCTGTATATGTGTTATAAATTAAAAATTAGAACGTTAATTACCATTTAGGTCTAAAAAACAAAAAAGATAAATCCTCTTTTTTTTTTTTATTTTTTTTATTTTTTTTTTTTTTCATATTATTTTCTCTCAGTGATTCGTAACAAATACAATATTTTCTCCTTTTAAATTATTTTTTAAAAACTCTAAAGCCGTTTTTGATATCCAGCCTTCAATGTCGCCCACCTCTAACCAACTAAAGAGCAAAATAAATTTTTCTCGGATTGGTACCTCTGATTCCTGTTGCGAATACTATTTATAGATTTTTTTTTTTAATTTTTGGTTTTGTTTTTTTTTCACAAGGGAAATCAAGATATAATCATAATTGTGATAAAAAAATTAACCATCCTATTCTACCCCTTTTTCCGCTTTTTCTATTCTATAAAAAATATTTACAACAAATGAAGAATTGTAATAAATATATGTATTTGCTGCTAAACAATTATATATAAATTTTGTTCACCAGATAGGCAACTTTTTAATATCATAAAATAAAATAATTGAAAGTAATAATAATAATAAAATACTTATGTTATTTAAATAAATATATTTATATTTATAAATATATATGCCCTAAATTGTGACAGATTGTAATATTTTTCAATAAATAAGTTTTAAATATATATATATATATTTAATAACGATATATATATATATATATATATATATATCGTATTGATAGTTATAATGTGAATAATAAAAGCCATACATTATTATATAAACTATGGTTATCTAGGGTCTGTCTGTTTAGTGAAGAGGAAGTAGAATAGAAGTGTTTTAGAAATGGGTAAGAGAGAAACATGTCGAATTTGATGATGAAGGGAATTTGGTGTAGTGGGCAAAAAGGAAGAAGTGGGATACGGATAGTTGAAATACGGAGAAAATGGTAACGTCTCGGGTCTCTGTGTATATTTATATATGCTATGATGCTATGATAAAGCCAGTTCTAGTATAAGACTGTGAGATCTGGACTCTAACAAACACCACAGAAAGAAGTTATTAAAAATTTGAGAGAAAAATCCTCCTCACGATAACCGAGACGATTTGTCATCAAGGTATAAATGCGTGTAGGAAAAGTACCAATAAATAATTTCATAAAGAAACTGATCAATCAATATCTCATAATATGAAGACAAGGAAGTTAAGATGTGTGGGGTATGTAAATCGGAGTAATCCATCAGAAAGCCTCTATTCAACAATGAATCCCCAGCAGTAGGCAAGAGACCAGTGGGAGGCCAAAATCAGACGAATACATTGAATTGAATCGAAAAAGATGCTGCAATACTCCATGCATCGCTGAAAATCAATATAACAAGATAAGCAAAGGCAGAAAATGTTGGTAAAGATTGTAAAATATCTACAAAGACTGTAAAGCCAACAGAAAAGAAAAAAAACCTATGGGCATATAGGATATCCCTGAATAGTTATTATATTCAATGAATTGCGAAACGGATATAACAATTGTATAATAAAATGAATGATTTCAAATGTTTGAAATAAAAACACGTAAGCCTGTTTGAGAACTTTAATGGTGAAGAAAAAAAAAAGATTTGAAAATCGATCGTCTAATTTATTTCCTTAAAAAAATATACATATTTGGAGAATAAACCGCCTACAACTATGATTGTGTTTTGAAGTGATAGTCGTAGTCTCGTCTAGGAATAATAGTAGGAAATAGTTTAGATTTTAATAAGGTTACGAATATACAATGAGCAACATTTAGGAACTCTGTATATATAAACAAATATAAATATGATAACTAAGAATAGCAGGAAAACATTCGCATAAGAAAAAAAAGAATAATATAATAAAGTGATAATGATAGGATATACATATACAAAATTAAAATAAAATGGATAAAGTACCCCTACAAAATAAATACAAATATTTGAGATTTGCTTAAACATTATTTTATTTATTTGTTTGTACTGAAAAATAATTATTTGTAATTCATGTAACAGTTTATTCAACGCTTGAATAAATTTGTACAAATGGTAAATGTGTGCTAAGGTAAACGTTTGCTTTGTTTACTTTCATACAATTTTCAGACATCTTGCTCTATAAATTTTCAACATTAAATCACCAACACTTGTTTATTCGTAATGCCACTTGAAAGCATATAGAGTCCTCATATAGAAGTATTTTTCTGCAAATAAGGATTTAATAGAGAGACATCTATATTGTTTTAATTGTATTTATTTTTTTATTGAGATATTACAAACTGAATAACAGTTTGTTAACGGAAGTAATTTTTATTGATACATTGGTCTATAGTTAAATTTTTAAAAACGTTTTATAAAATATTTAAGGCTAGTTTTTCTATTATATTTTATGTACTGAATCCATCAAAAGGATTTATTACAAATGATGCTAAATGACGATGGTAATTCATTGACTAAATTATTCATTTATTCATATCAAACAAAGTATTAAAAACTTTAGATGTTCAAAAGTTTATATTTATTTAGAAAAAGATAATAAAAAAACGCAAATTATTACACAATTATTTGCACTTTTTAATCAATTCGCAAATAAAGTTATTCCACTTGTAGTAAGTTTTTTTTTGTAAGTTTCTTTTTGGGGATGTATATAATATGGATCATATTGGTATTTGTATTGGACCAGATTTTCGGAGTCTACATATAATGAAACAAAAAACCTCAAATTTTAAGGAGGTTAATTTTTTTTTTCTTGGTAGATTATAATCGTTTGCTTTTGAAAATATTAAACCAAAATTATAATTTAAAAAAAATGTATGGTAATTCCTTGGCGAGGAAACTATCCAAATTTCTTACCTTTGTCAGTCCTCCACTCTTGTTAGGCCATATAGCTTGAGTAAGACTTTCCGTTCCCATTTAATAATTAGTTTTGGACTTTCATTCAAGAAATCTAACCTTCACTGTAATGTTGTACCCTTACTATGAACAACATTGTTGATGGCACAGTAAAACGGATTGCTTGCATTTTTTGTTTTATCTCCTACTTCATTGTAATCCTAAAGCATTACCTTCATTGATATCCTATAATCATATCCCTCACAGTCGTGTTGAATGAATACGTTAACCTCAACTGTTCTATACTAACTACAATCAAGTCTATGAGAATAAACAGAGTTGAACTTAAAGGTTCCGCTAAAGTTTAAATTTCCTCTCTTACCCAATACAAAATATTTTGTACTTTGGCAAAAATTCAATCATATATACTTCGAACATCCTTCATGTCCTGTACATTCAAGAAGTATCTTACCATATGTCCTCTCCTAACTGAAACCCTCTAGCTTTTAACTTTGCATTCAAATTGATTCCTGATAATTGGACATCTGAAAGGAAGTTTGCCTCTTGTTATAGAAAGTCTAAAAAAGAAGTGTCATTGCAATACCATGCATAAATGATTTCTTCACAACTGTTTGTCTTGTTACATTAATCAGATAAAATATTTACTTATATTTTTTTTATTTGTAAAAAAAAGAGATAAATTACAAAAGAAAAATTTAAATCCGTTAACCCATGTTTTCAATTATGACGACAACATTTCATCTTTTAAGAAGATCCTATACATTTGATTTTTCCTTAATTTAAGTTAATTGTAAACATTCACGAAAAAAATAACAAACAATAATCCAAAGAAACACATATTTATGGTCAGGGTTTGAAATCGATGGTTAAAACAATAGATTCTGATCAGAAACTTTCTCTGCAATTTTTAAAAATCATTTCATGATTTTTATTAAGAGCGATTTTTATTTTTTTATCATAAATGATAAAAATCATATCCTGACAATTATTTTTACAATTCCCTATCCCTATGATATATTTAGAATCTGGAGTAGTAGATGGAGAATATTTAGCAATATTATTAACAACAGTAGCAACAAAGACGTAACATCATTATTTCTGAAAATCGTTTGAAATTTGAGCTTACAAAAAATATATATAGTGCTGGTACCACGTGAACAATTAAAGGGATTTCATAAATATAATATTACAAAATATGAACATTAATAATTATACTTAAATATTAATATTTAATTTCATTTGTGTATGAAAGGGATTTTTATTTTATGATCACATTTTTTTTAATCACAAATTAATCATTATCATTTATATTAAACCGTATCACTAAGTGAGTTATCATTATTTTTATTCGAATCGATAAACATCAAAGACCGATTTAAATGTTTACAATATTTTTTGATATCAGGCATGATTTTTAAATTAAAAATCAAATATAATAATTATTACATGATTTCGTGACAAAAATAATTATCGATTTTTATATTGTGATACGTGTTTATGATCATTAAAAATGGTACTCATGTTCTGTTAATGATAATTTATAAAGATTTTTTTACTTACACGCCATCTTATCCAGAGGACGTAACATCACTCCACGCTCTATAAACCTCCAGGATATTATAATGATTAATTGTGAAAGTTTTACATAAGGCAAACGACAATATTCAATTCACGGTCTCAAACAATGAATCAGTCATAGATTCAAATATATTATGTGGAAAACACGCGTTGCTGGGCAACATT